GGGACAGGACCCATGTGCAAAAAGAGCTGCACTGAGGTTATGAAGAGTGACTGGTTATATACTATGAAATTGGGGGAAGTAATGATGAACTGGAGAGAGGCCTCCAGAAGGACATTGACATGTTAATGAGGACTCCTAAAATACTTGAGGCCTTGCTATTGTCAAACCTAGGTTGTTTTACCTCTAGTAAGGCATTAACATTAGGAATGGTAGGGGTTCCTGGAGAAATGTTGTGCTCTGTATTTGCCTCAAGTATTTGTCACTGGGCTGCAGAGTACCAGAAACTTAATTTTACCTGCCATTTCCTTCTTGCCTTTCTTCCCCACATCACCATGGAGGTTAGGGTCTTAATAGGGGCTCCAGGAGGTTAGACTATTGATAAATTGCCTTTTTCTTCTAACTTACTACGATATTTGTAAACTGATGGAGACTCATGTGCTGTATGACTATGATCTCTATCAGTTAACCATTTGTTTTCTTTCCTTTCCTTTGTTCTTGGGCAGCCAGAGGAATGTCACACATATCCCACCATGGCAGAGAGGTTTCTAGCTTATATATAGCCCTCAGCTTGCCTGATGATCCCTCTTCACCCAGAGTCGCTTCACTCAGAGCCCACCACCCAAAGGCCAGGCTAAGGGAGCTGGTTCCCCAGAAGCAGGTGGAAGAGCCCATGAGGTCTCTGCGAGTCTCATCTGAGGCCAGGGAGAACCTAAGGTCAGCCTCAGATCAGGCATTTGACAGCTCTGACTCTCGTGGTGACATCTAGGAGACACTGCCCGGGGGCTGGGACTCATCAGGCCTCCCATGGACAGCTAATCCCCCATGCGGAAACTGCTTCCCTCCAGGACAAAGCTGGGATCAGCCATGGCAGGAACACTTTTGGGGGGTCCAGGCCTAGCCCCTGGGCTCCACAGTTGAAGACTATGGCCAAAGATGGCAGATGGTATCAGTGGTTTCCCAAAAATGAGGCTGAGTCCTAGCACTCACTGTGACCCAAGGTACCTGGTGTCCAGAGTGGCAGGGTAGAGACCCCCCCCTTGGGCCCCAGCCACCATCACTTTTCACACATGCAGATGCATGTCTCCCATTGTCCCCCACCAGGATAGATCTGGGACTATAGCCTCAGATATCTGCTCTGTCAAGCTGACTCATTTGTGGCTGCCATGCCCAGCTTGGGGTTTCTGTCTACTGGGCCCACAGGAGGGGCCAAGTCCTTAGGGTCAGCTGAGGTCTGGATCCACCCTACCAATGGGGCATGGATGAGAGGAGGGACTGACTTAACGTGGGAATGTTGTGTCTTTGGAATGGTGGGGCTTTGGATCTGACAGCCATAAAAGAATTCTTGAGACATCTTTGGTGCACAAAAGGTGGTTTTATTAAAGCATGGGGGGGCGCCTGGGTGGCGCAGTCGGTTAAGCGTCCGACTTCAGCCAGGTCACGATCTCGCGGTCCGTGAGTTCGAGCCCCGCGTCGGGCTCTGGGCTGATGGCTCGGAGCCTGGAGCCTGTTTCCGATTCTGTGTCTCCCTCTCTCTCTGCCCCTCCCCCGTTCATGCTCCGTCTCTCTCTGTCCCAAAAAATAAATAAACGTTGAAAAAAAAATTTATTAAAGCATGGGGACAGGACTCTTGGGAGAAAGAGCTGCACTGGGATTGTGAAGAGTGACTGGTTATATACATTGGGGTTGGGGAGGTAAAGTTAACAGGAAGTTTGTAAAGAGATTTTCATATTCTCAAGAAGACTCACACATTACTGGAGGCCTAGCTATTGTCAAGCTAAGGTTGTTTTCTCCTCTAGCAAAGCATTACCATAAATACAGTAGAGAATTCCTGGAGAAATGTTATACTCCATATTTGCCTCAAGTACTTATCAATGGGTTGCAGTTCATAATGAAATTTAATGCCATCTGCCATTTCCTTCTTGCCTTTGTTCCCCATATCACAAGGGAGGTGGGAGGGTGATGTTGGGTGTCCAGGAAACTGAGTATGGGTTTCTGAGGATTAGGCTATTGATAAGATTCCCTTTTTCTCCTAATTTACTGGGACATAGGTAAACTGATGGAGACTCACATCCTGCAGGACTGTGATGTCTATCACTTAATCATTTGTTTCCTTTCCTTTCCTTTGTTCTCAGGTAGTCAGGAGTACCTGAGGAATGTCACACATATCCCCTGGAGGGAGGGGCATGCTAGCATGTGCTTTGCCCTCCACTTGCCTTATCCTCCCTCATCACAAACATTGCCCAGTAGACCTTCGGTGGTAGGGGGAGGGGAAGGATTTTTCACCCTTGTCAAGGCCTGGTGTGGGTCCCTGGGAGGGCCAGGATCTGGGCTTCATGAACAGCATAGGGTACACTCTGTCCTTCCCTACGAAGAATGTCAACTTTCAGCTGCACCCCTTTCCCTGTCCCTTTGGAAGACCACAAAGCAGCATGGGCTCTGTTGGCACAAGGCATTCTCGGCTTTCATCAGGTACAACAAGGGGACCCCACCACATGTAGCCCACCCTGCACTTGGGCCCCAGCTGAGAGGCTCCTGGAGGTCAGAGATGACAACTGGTCCATATCAGAGATCCATGACCACACACAGTGCTAACCAGGGGGAAGAGAGTGTGGAGGGAATCAGTGTCCTTGCCAGAGATGTGGAGACATGGGGAATGCATCCTCCAGCCTCATGGACCTTCCTGCCCTTCATCTTGCATAATCTTGACCTGAGGGAAAGGGCAGAGACTTTGCCATGATCCTCAGCACGAGCTGCTGGCAATTGCCTCACCCTTCGGGATTTGGCAAAGGATAAGTCGCTCCACCCTGGGGTGAGCCATTGGCCACAGAGACCATAAATAGCATCCCCCAGAAGCCTCCTCACTCATCTCCTCTTTCAGGGAATATCTGGAGTGGTGCCACCTTCCTCAGCCCTGAAGTCATGGCCCTAGGTCTCCTGTGGCTGGGCCTTGTCCTGCTGGGGGCCCTGCAGACCCAGGCCCAGGATTCCACCCCAAACCTGATCCCAGCCCCACCTCTGCACAGGATCCCTCTGCAGCCTGACTTCCAGAATGAGAAGGTAAGGAGCCTGGAGTGGCAGCTGCAGGGAGGTCCCAGGAAGAGTGTGAACAGAGGGGAGGAGAGGCAGGATGGGCCAGGCTTTAGCTCAGTCTGCCCTCGGGTGCTCTGATGAAAGGCACACCCCATGTTCCCATTCACACCCAACCTTGCTGATAAGAGGGTCAGCTGAGCAGACTCCCCTGGTCCACACTCTCTTCCATAATCCCCCCAGTCCATGCCAGGTGGGAACGTCTTCAGGCCCTCTACATGATGAGGAAACTGAGGCTCAGGGAAGCGAGCTGTCCACTTGCCAAGGGTCACCTTCTCCCTGACACACTCAGTGCTCCCACCTGGCCTGATGGCTCCAGCTCCTGCTGGCTTCATCAGCACAGCCTGTATGTGTATGTCCCTGCAGCCCAGTTAGAGGGGCTTCTGGTTGAGGCCCAGGCTGCCTGGAGGTGCCTGCAGGGATGGAGCAGGAGGGCCCCCTAGGGCTGCTCCTGGTTCTGTCTATCATCAGCTCCCATTGTAGTTCCAGGGAAAATGGTACATCATAGGATTGGCAGGGAATGAAATTAATAAAGAAAAACACAGCCAGTTTAAGATGTACACCACCACCTACGAGCTGAAAGAAGACAACAGCTACAATGTCACCTCTACCGTGGTCTGGTGAGAGCTACCAGCAACTAGGAAGCATGGGGGGCCTAGAGGGCTGTGGTGGGTGTCCAAGACACAGACTGATGATATAGCTGAGGGGTGACCAAAACTGAAAGATGATCATTCATCCTACCACTGGGTACTGGATGTCTGCATTTAACTTTCTCTCATTCACTGGATCAACATTTTGTGGTCACTTCAGCACAGACAGAAGACAATCCTGGGGATGGACACAGACAGACATCAGGACACAAGATAAAGAGAACAGGGGTGACCTAGAATGGGAGGAGGGTCACTAGATCCACCTAGGATGTTCTCAAGGGCTTCCAGGGAGGTGGACTGTGGGCTGGGCTTTGAGGAACCAACCTGTGTCAGAAGGAGGCCTGGGACCTTCGTGGCAGGACTGCTGGACTGAGACAGAAATAGCCACCTCTTAAAGAAACAGCAAGCCATTGTATGGCTGCCCTGAGCAGGAGCTGATGAGCGGTCTGGAGAGGGGTGGTGACCACAGTGGTGGGGGCCTCAGGTACTGGTGAGGAGTGGGTGTGGCTGCAGCAGGAAGAGGAATGGTGGTGTGCAGCCCAGGAGGCTGATCAGTCATAGGTGGGAGATGACCAGAGCGGGGGCAGATTAGGACCTAGAGAGGGGAGGCAAGGCTTACCCAGCTCCTCTGGGTTTCTGGATTTGGCACTTGGGTATGGGGCTAGAGCATCTGTCATTGAAGAATCCGAAGAAGGGCAGGTGTTGGGAGATCGGCTCTGGAGTGCCAGGGGACCAGATGTTGGCCCAACAGCTAAAGGAGTCTTTGGCATCCAGCAGACTGTAGCCTCGGTGGTGATTCCCCTGGCAAGGTTACAGCGAGAAGCTGCAAGATAGGAATAGGGGACAGGGGCGCCTGGGTTGCTCAGTTGGTTGGGCATCTGACTTTGCATTGAGTCATGATCTTGCAGTTTTTGAGTTAGAACCCCGGTCGGGCTCTGTGCTGACTGCTCAGAGCCTGGAGACTCCTTTGTATTCTGTGTCTTCCTGTCTCTCTGCCCCTCCCCTGGTCGTGCTCTGTCTCTCTCTTTCTCTCTCAAAAATTAATGAACATCTTAAAAAGGTAAAAAAAAA